GAGGAGTGACTTGGCTCTTGGCTTTGTTTGCCTGGAGTAGGACTCAAGAACCCAGACCTAAAGCTGGATAGCGGGGTCAGGTGCCATTTCCAGCAGCTCGGTGGCTTATGTGACCCGGGGCAATTACCTAGCCCCACCATGCCTCCATTTCCTCAGTTTTAAAGTTTTTATTTACTTATTTTGACAAAGAGAGAGAGAGCACAAGCAGGTGAAGAGCAGAAAGAAGGAGAAACAAAATCCCAAGCAGGCTCCACGCCATCAGTACAGAGCCTGACGCAGGGCTTGAACTCATGAACCATGAGATCATGACCTGAGCTGAGATCAAGAGCCAGACGCTAAACTGCCTGAGCCACCCAGACACCCCCATTTCTACAGTTTTAAAAGAGTCAATCATTCTCTCTAGGGAGAGAGTAGAAGGGGACTCTCTTCATATGCTAGAGTGAGGATTAGCAAGCAAGTCATCGAGTAGAAAATGCCTACCAGTGCCTGGTATAGTTAACTAAGCATTTGTACTGTGCACGAAAGGGGAATCATTAAAGAGTTTGAAAAACAGGGTTATGGGCTTCAGATTTGTATTTTGGAAAGATCATCCAGCTAGGCACAGGGTTAGCCCCCTGGAGAGGGCTGAGACATTAGTCAAGGAAACAATTATGTAAATGAGAAAGACCAAGGCAAGGCAGTTGGAGTGGGGGGTGATGCAGGAGGTATGAAGACAATGGACTTGGTCATCAGTTTGGGGAAGGAGGCGAGGGGATGAGATGAGGCAGTAACGATTCCCGGATTTGAGGGGGGCAACTAGGGGTGCTGGTATGCCATTCACCCACACAAGGGATATAGGAGAGGGCCAGGTTTAGGATCCCGGTGGGCAGGGAGGGTGGGGAGGCGTGGTTTGTTCTGCGGTGTGAACTCTGGGTGCAGCGACCCAACAAGGAACCCCCCTCATCTTCCTGGATAGGAATCCGATGCTAAGACGCTTAGCACTGTACATACTGGTACTTAATAAATATTAGCACTTAATATTTAATGTTTATCTTTGCTTTTTAAGCAAATACTGTGAGAAAAGTCTAGGTCCACACTTGAGTTTTTCCCTTTAGAGTTCTCTAAGTAGAACTACTGAGGTGAAGGTATGTTACCTTTTAAAGACTTTAATTCACCTTGCAAGTCACTTTCAAAAAAATAAAAGAAAGGATTTCCACCATAACCTAGCCTCATTATTTTTTTTATCAACACCACTGCCAAAATCCCAGGGTATGGGGAGGAGTCCTCTCATGTGCTACCAATGGAACTGGCCAAGACCATCAGGTCCGTCCTTTGGAGCTGCTAATTGCCTTAGTCTCTTTGTCTTGGGGAAATCCCTCAAATCAATGTCTGCTATTAATTAGCACGTTGCCAATACCACAACCCAAACTATATTCTTGAAACTGTGACAGTGAGTGAAATATAAATACTCCCCTAAGGCTTGGGGATGGGGGATGAAGATAGTGCACTTAGAAATCTCCACGGTACTGGGATACCTGGCTGGCTCTATCAGTTAAGTGTTCGACTTTAGCTCAGGTCATGATCTTGCAGTTTGTGGGTTCAAGCCCTGCATCAAGCTCTGTGCTGACAGCTCAGAGCCTGGAGCCTCCTTCAGATTCTGTGTCTCCCTCTCTCTCTCTGCCCCTCCCCAACTCCTGCTCTCTGTGTCTCAAAATTAAATAAACATTAAAAAAATTTTTTTAAAGAAATCTCCACAGTACTATACATTATTTTAACAATATTTTCCTCCAGAGAATGGGCTTCTTGTAACTTTCTTCGCCATGATTTTGTGTACATAAGTGCATGGAAATCCCATTTCCTTTGAATCCATAAGTGCTCTATGAGAGGGTACCGTTTGCCATTTTAACCCAGAAAAAACTGAGACTTCATATATATGTATATGTATATATATATATATATATATATATATATATATATATCAATAGATGTTCATCAGTAAAATCTATTTTCACTGGAGACAGGGTTTAGGCCAGTTCTGCATGTGATTATCATGAATTGCTCCACTGGCCATTCATACGCTTTGGATGCTTATTACTCTATTTCTTTTTTTATTTTTGTTTATTTTTTTAAATTTATTTCTAGGAGAGAGAGAGACAGTGTGAGCATGGGAGGGTCAGAGAGAGAGGGAGACACAGACTCCGAAACAGGCTCCAGGCTCTGAGCTGGCAGTCAGCACAGAGCCCAACTGTATTTCTAACACTGGCTACACACAGCTGACATATGTCAGGAAAACGGTACCCAGGGAAGTGTTCGATAGGCTCGATATCAAGAACACTTGATTTGTGTCCATCAGACTGAGATTTGTACATTAGTTTTTAATTTGTTGTCTTTTCCAGAGAGTCCTCATAGAGGAAATGTGGGTACACTGTTCTTCTCCATGTGCTGTATTGAACTGGATATCTGTTCTGTATTTTCCATGATCCACACAAGGCCACTGAACCAGGGGGCCCTCCGCACCAATACCTGCCTCTTCGGTTCAAAGCATTAACCACCCATCGACGTCTGAACAGAGCCTCATACTTGCTTTTGGAAAATTTTCTCATGCCTAGTCCTAATCCCTGTTCTCAGGCGTCAGTGAGGAGATGCCACGATATTTATGAGGAGACTGGGTCTCATTTGTATGAAATGGGACTCCTGTCAAGGAAAGCAAGCAATAAGGATTGATCATCTCTAGTAAACCATAATTGTTTTCTTCCCGTGTGTCAGTCGGCCGAGGGGAGGAAAGGGGGTGGATCCACCGAAGAATGGGGAAAGAGAATATTTCTGCTTAAAAGTGAACTTGGTAGCTCCAAGATGCCCTCCTTTACTGCTGAGGTTGTCAGAGTGCTGGAAGGAAATTCCGTGGTTGGAGTGGGGAGCTGAGTAGAATAGAGTCCATTGCAATATTAGAGAGTCAATCAAATGTCCCTAGTCCTCCCTGAGCTTTCCGCTAGCTCCATCAAAGAGTTCATGTCCCAGGGCGCCTGGGTGGCTCATTCAGTTAAGTGTCCGACTTGGGCTCAGGTCATGATCTCATGGTTCATGAGTTCGAGCCCTGCGTCAGGCTCTGTGCCGTCACCTTAGAGCCTGGAGCCTGCTACAGACTCTCTGTCTTACTCTCTTTCTGCCCCTCCCCTGCTCATGGTCTCTCTCTCTCTCTCTCTCTCAAAAATGAATAAATATTTAAAAAACTAATAAAAAAAAGAGTTCACGTTCCATCCATTTTGTCCAGTTGTAACGTGGGAGAGTTCTCCAAAAGAACACTGTAAGAAAGCCTACTTACTGTTGAACCCATTTACTGCAGGTATCTTGAAAGCATAGGGATCCTACCTGTTTTTGTTGTTCTTTCATCCTTTATCTTTATTTCCAAACACTGGACACATTATGCTATAAATAAGCATAATAATATAGGATAAGACTAATTGTGAGGTTGAAACCACGTGTCTCTAACTATAGGTTTCTTTAAAAATAGGTAAAGAGACATACCCATATATATATATATATATATATATTTTTTTTTTTAATGTTTACTTATTTAGGGGAGGAAGGGGACAGAGAGAGAGGGAAAGACAAAGCAGATCCCATGCTCAGCATGGACTCTGATGCAGGGCTCGATCCCATGACCATGATATCATGACCTGAGCCACAGAAATCAAGAGCCGGGCACTTAACCAGCTGAGCCACCAGGCAGCCCGAGACATACCCATATTTAATTTTTTTTTTGTTTTTTAATGTTTTTTAAAATTTATTTCTGAGAGAGAGACCACATGAGCAAGGGAGGGTCAGAGAGAGAGGGAGACACAGAATCTGAAACAGGCTCCAGTCTCTGAGCTGTCAGCACAGAACCTGACGCGGGGCTCGAACCCACGAACCATGAGATCATGACCTGAGCTGAAGTCAGATGCTTAACCGACTGAGCCACCCAGGCGCCCTGAGACATACCCATATTTTAAAGAAATCCGCCATAATTTCCACATAGCCAGCCAGCTATCATGGTAATTAATAGAGTCAGAGAATTTTTAAATCCAGGGTGTATGCAGAAGGACACTAGTTAGTGTTTCTTTAAGTGTATTTGTCAGAACACTGGCCTCTAGGGGAAAGGGGGGGGGGAATCCTGGTCACACAAATTTGGGAAACCCCCCATCTTGTGTCTTCCTCCTGGATCATTCACAATGAAAAGTCAACTCTAAGTCAGCATTTCCCAAACGTGCTTGACCAGTCTTTTGCCCTGTGGAACAGCTGTAGGAAATAAGTGGGATCTCACAGTGCAGGCTCAGAAAATGAAGCCACTTGTCCCAGGTAACAAGAGCCAGAAAGGACAGAAAGGACAAGAACCCTCTGGTGGTAGCTAGCCTGCCTCCGAATGTCTGTATCCTTGTATTGACAGCAGTAGCTCAAAACATTTCGAGATAATTTTTTTTCCCTTGCAATCTATTTAAAGAACCGTTTCTAAAGTATCTAGCATCCTAGTTTAATTTGGAGAGATTTATCCCGTAGCAGATGGAAAATGTGTCAATTGGCCCATTCAATTTAGTAGTACTCTTTATTCATATGCATCAGAAATGAACCTGAATAGTAAGCCTCGTCGTCGGAGGGAAAACAAAACGCTCACGAGGCTCTCCGTCTGAGGGGTGGGGAAGGGAGAAAGCCAGTTAGCAATCAGGCAAGTAGCTGTGTAATTACAAGTCACGATACATGCAATGCAGAAAATGAACTATGCGCTGTCAGATTGGGTTTAAATTTGCAATCTTTTTTTTTTTTTTAATTGACCCGGATTCAGAAAGGGTCAACAGCGGCTGTTTTTTTTTTTTTTCATATCAAGGGATAACTTTATTTATTTACTTACTTATTTATTTATTTATTTATTTTTACCAATAGTTTATTGTCAAGTTGGTTTCCATATGACACCCCGTTTTTCTGGGAGCTCAGCCCAGAACGAGGGTGAAGCCCGTTAACAGCCCGTCCCCTTCTTGTCTTCCCAGCCGAGTGGAGCAAAATGAGAGCGCAGTGAGCCGGCCCAGCCTCTCCCGCGGCCGTCCCGACGCCCACCATGAACCACTCGGAGGGCTCCGCGGAGGCGGAGGTGACCGACGAGGCGGCAGGCGGGGAGGTGAACGAGTCGGTGGAGGCTGACCTGGAGCGCCCCGAGGCGGAGGAGCAGCGGCGGCGGCGCCATGCCCGCCGCCCCGGGCGCGCCGTCGAGGACCCGCGCGCGCCGCCGGGGGCGCAGGACGAGGAGGAGCGCGGCGACTGCCTGGCGCGCTCGGCCAGCACGGAGAGCGGCTTCCACAACCACACGGACACGGCCGAGGGCGACGTGATCGCCGCCGCCCGCGACGGCTACGACGCGGAGCGCGCGCAGGACGCCGAGGACGAGAGCGCCTACGCCGTGCAGTACCGGCCCGAGGCCGAGGAGTACACGGAGCAGGCGGAGGCCGAGCACGCCGAGGCCGCGCAGCGCCGCGCGCTGCCCAACCACCTGCACTTCCACTCGCTCGAGCACGAGGAGGCCATGAACGCGGCCTACTCGGGCTACGTGTACACGCACCGGCTGTTCCACCGCGGCGACGACGAGCCGTACGCCGAGCCCTACGCCGACTACGGGGGCCTCCAGGAGCACGTGTACGAGGAGATCGGGGACGCGCCCGAGCTGGAGGCGCGCGACGGGCTGCGGCTGTACGAGCGGGAGCGCGCCGCCGCCGCCGCCGCCGCCGCCGCCTACCGCCAGGAGGCGCTGGGCGCGCGGCTGCACCACTACGACGAGCGCTCCGACGGCGAGTCCGACAGCCCCGAGAAGGAGGCCGAGTTCGCGCCCTACCCGCGCATGGACAGCTACGAGCAAGAGGAGGACATCGACCAGATCGTGGCCGAGGTCAAGCAGAGCATGAGCTCGCAGAGCCTCGACAAGGCGGCCGAGGACATGCCCGAGGCCGAGCAGGACCTGGAGCGCGCGCCCACCCCGGGCGGCGGCCGCCCCGACAGCCCCGCGCCGCGGGCGCCGGCGGGCGGCGAGGCGGCGCCGCGCTACAGCCAGGAGAAAAGGGACGCCATCTCGCTGGCCATCAAGGACATCAGAGAGGCCATCGAGGAGGTGAAGACCAGGACCGTGCGTTCGCCCTACACCCCCGACGAGCCCAGAGAGCCCATCTGGGTCATGCGCCAGGACATCAGCCCCACCAGGGACTGCGACGGCCAGAGGCCGGGGGACGGAGGCGTAAGTACGCGCGGTTCGCTGCGCGCGGGGCCGTGCTTGCCCGCGGGAGAGGACTTCACGAGAAAAGGGGTCCTGGGGTGGGGGGGGGGCCCAAACCGTGCCCACCTGGAGCCGCGGAAGCGGCTTGCGCTAGGCGCGCCTGAGTGCGACAGGTGGAACCGAGTGGGAGTGTTGAGGGCACCTCGAGGGCTGGCTGTGAATCAGCGCTTCGCAGACTGTGCCTTCTGGAGGCGCTTGTTCAGAAATCGATTTCTAGGCGCGTCACACTCCTCCCACCCCTCATTTCTCACTTAGGAGGCCCCGGGTGGGACATGAGAATTTGCGATTTTATTCTAAAAAAAATTAACGTTGATTTATTTTTGAGAGACAGAGAGAGACAAAGCACGCGAGCAGGGGAGGCAGAGAGAGAGGGAGACCCAGAATCTGAAGCAGGCTCCAGGCTCTGAGCTGTCGGCACAGAACCTGACGCGGGGCTCGAACCCACGGACCGTGAGATCACGACCCGAGCCAGAGTCGGCGCTTAACTGACTGAGCCACCCAGGTGCCCCGAGAATTTGTAATTTTAATGTCAAGTAAAAACCGTGGCTGGGTTGAGCAAGGAGAGGCTTGATCGGAAATGCTTTTTGCAAAGGGGAGACAGGTTCTTTTGTATCAGGGGATGGGGCAGGCCTATAGCAATAGAAGAACATCTGACTAGAGGATCCGCAAGGGTCTCTGGGGCTGGGCAAAGACGGTCTCTCTTTTTTTAAAAAAGTTTTTTAATGTTTTATTTATTTCTGAGAGAGAGAGAGAGACAGCATGAGCAGGGGAGGGTCAGAGAGAGAGGGAGTCACAGACTCTGAAACAGGCTCCAGGCTCTGAGCTGGCAGTCAGCACAGAGCCCGACGCGCGACTCGAACCCATGAAGCGTGAGAGCATGACCTGAGCCGAACCGACTGAGCCACCCAGGCGCCCCAAGAGAGGGTCTCTTTTATAGAGAGGAGTAAAGTGGGCTGGAAAGAAGGAGGCGTAGGGAACAGGGATGAAAGCCTGGCTTGAATGCCTTGCAGAAGACAGTATGTTTTAACTGGAGGCCAGCCTGTTCCCACAGGGGCCCTTGAGGAAGGGTGGTAGGCTGGCTAAGAAGTTCAAGGACCTGGAGGAAGGAAAAAGGTTCAGCCAAAGATTAATTAACGGACATTGTATTCTGACTAATGGACAGTGAGCTAATCATTTGTCAGGCAAAGAAAGTGACCTTGGAGGGTCTGTGTCTGACCTTGTCACAGGTAAACAAGGGGACACCTGTGAGTCTTAAGTAAGTCATAGGGGGAGGGGGCTGGACTTTGCAGTAAGCTATTTCCGGAACGCAAAAGGATAGGGGGAGGTTTCCTTAACCTTCGCTGTTGTCCGGAATCCTAGGGCTCAGGTGAAGTTCAACAATGTCAAGTAGGAGGGCCCCAGGTGGTGCTGATGCTGCTGGCCACAGGACCACAACTTGAGAGCCACTTTCTTAAAGTCATCCCGCAGTAGTTTGGAACCGCCATTGTGGCATCTTTGGAGGATATCAGGGGAATCTTGCTGAGTTTTTTCCTGCTAGGAGTTTCTGCCCTTTTTCACCCACTGTACCTCACACTGTGGCTCTCAGTAAGGGAGCCAGAGCACCCTTCTCCCCAAAAGTCCTTTTTGGGGTTTTAAACCAAACTGTGCTTCCTTGGGAAGATGTACAGAAAGCTCTTGCTGCCCCTGCTAATATTTTATTTTCCAGTTATGAAATATCTAAGAAATTTGATGACACGGCGAGCTTGGATGTCACAGTCCATTCAAAATAAATCAAGAAGACTAACCTTTGTCTCCACAACCTGGCGCTTTAGCTTCTCTATCTTCTCTTTCACTTTTCCATTCGCTTGAATAATTTTTAAGCACTTTCATTTAAAGTGTGAGCTTGGAACGAAGGAAGGGTTAGGAGGTTAAATTCGGTTTCATTTAATTCTGCATTCTGTGATTGCACCAGGTTACTTCTCAGTCCATCTTTTGGAGTGAGAAGCCATTATTGGAAACTGTTCATTCTACTTACGCGCGAAGGGCTATGGAGGTCAGAGGGATCTTCCACCTCCTCTTTAGGTAACAGTCAACATTTGCTGGTAGGTAATTAAATCGCCGGCACCTTTCAGGAAAGGTGGGAAACTGGTTGGGAATGGATCCGCGTCATCCGCAGCAAGGGGGCAGCATTGGGTCAGTTAGTGCAGCGATGCTCTGGGTCTCCCCTCCGTTCCAGGTTTCACATGCCAACAGTTAAAGACAGGTGCTTTCACGTGTAGACTTCCCCTTGACCTCCAGCTGCTGCCAGGTTCCTCCTGGCAAGAAGGGAAATCCTGCAGCATTTTGCAAATGTAGTGGAAATGGAGCGGGTTTTCAAAAGTAAGGAGGTGGTGGGGGCATCTGGGTGGCTCAGTCTGTTAAGTGTCTGACTTCAGCTTAGGTCATGGTTTCGCGGGTCGTGAGTTCGAGCCCCACGTCGGGCTCTGTGCTGACAGCTCATAGCCTGGAGCCTGCTTCGGATTCTGTGTCTCCATCTCTTTCAGTCCCTCCCCCCACTCACCCCTGCCGGTCAGTCTCTGTCTCCCTCTCTCTCTCTCTCAAAAAATTAATAAACATTTAAAAAAATTTAAAGTAAGGAGGTGGCAAGAGACTGGGCCCTATATCCTTTTAGAAACTCGGAAAGCCATCAGAGAAGTTGCAAGACCATTAGGTCCAGGTGCTCTTCTTTCTCACATACACCAGCTGCTTGTTGTAACCGACTTCACCCCATGGTCCCGGCAGCCTCACCACGAACCCACAACACAGCCCACTTTAGGGCTGGGGCTTGCTTTGATTCATTTGAATGAGGAACAACTTAAGCCTCTTACACGATGCTTCATTCAAAACCTAGAATTAATGACAGGATATCGGATGATGCCTTAGGAATTCACACTGTCCGAAATTCAGCCTGATGGTCAGAGATTGGCGAGTAGGGCTTACGAGGTTATGAAGAGATAATACAAAGCAAAAGCCAAAACGTGTGCTTTATTTAAAATATTCTGCCTGTCATTTTTAAGCTCTTTGAATTTGTGGGTTTTATTCCGTCTGTCCTGCCACATTCATAGGAAGGACCTTCAGGGCGCCTGGGTGGTTCAGTTTGTTGAGCGTTCGACTTCGGCTCAATCATGACCCCACGGTTCATGAGTTCAAGCCCCACAGTGGGCTCTTTGCTGTTAGTGCAGAGCCCGCTCCGGACCCTCTGCCCTCTTCCGTCTCTGCCCCTCTCTCGCTTGTGCATGTTTGCTCTCCCTCCCCACCTGGAAAATAAAACATTAAAAAAGTATTTTTTTTAAAAAGGAAAGACTGATTTCCTACCTCTTTGATGGGATCATGAGGAGAAAAATGGAAGTATATGCGTTCTGTTGATTTCCGTCTTCACATCAAAAAACATTTACGGAACGCGCGGTCTGTGTTTGCTACTGTAGAAGATGAAAAAGCACTGTTAAAAAAGTGTGGTCCGAGGTCTGCCTGGAAGGTGCTTGTTAAGAATACAAATTACTGGGGGCGCCTGGGTGGCTCAGTTGATAAGTGTCTGACTCTGGCTTAGGTCATGATCTCGCGGTTTATGAGTTCGAGCCCCACATCAGGCTCAGCACTGATGACTGAGAGCCTGGAGCCTGCTTCGGATTCTGTCTCCCCTCTGTCTGCCCCTACCCTGTTCACACTGTCTCTCTCTCTCTCAAATATAAATAAATATTAAAAAATTATTAGGGGAAAAGAAAGAATACAAATTACTGGGGCGGGGGCTGGGGATCTGCTGTCATTTTGTTGGCTTTGTTGTATTTCATTTTGTAAATCCTCCCTGTGATTCTAAAGCATATAAAAGACTGAGAACCTCTGATTCGCAGGAAACCATTGTATCATCTGGGTAGTTTCCCCATGTGAGATCTGTGGTTTTGAGACGTGACTAAGTCGTTGATTAGCCCAGAATGGTGTTAACAAAGGGGACTGTCCCCTTGTGGTTGTGGTCAGCAGGCCTACACAAGGGGCCTTGGGCTTCTTGCTGTAGTAGCAGTGCATTGCCAAACGGCATGGTCAGAAACTACGGCGAGCAAATAGAAGGAAATAAAAACCTCTTGCGTTACAGACTTTCCGGAGATAACCGCTGATAGCTACCTCTGTTTTTAATACCCCTTCTCATTCCCTTAGACTTCAGCGTCTTGTTCTTTACTGGAACAAAGTGGCATTTGTTTTTGTTTTTTTAAATTTTTTCCCAATGTTTATTTTTGAGAGACAGAGCATGAATGGGGGAGGGGCAGAGAGGGAGACACAGAATCCCAAGCAGGTTCCAGGCTCTGAGGTGTCAGCACAGAGCCAGACAGGCAGGGAGGCGGGGCTCGAACTCACAGACTGTGAGATTATGACCTGAGCTGAAGTAGTCTTTAACCAACTGAAGCACTCAGGTGCCCCAAAGTGGCATTTGTTTGTGAGCGAGTTGTGTGGAATGTAAAGATGGGCTTGCTCATTAGCTAGAACTTGAACATATATTAGAGGCTCAGCACTGATGGGAAATAATTGTTTTCAGGGGTGCCTGGGTGGCTCAGTTGGTTAAGCATTGAATTTAGGCTTGGGGCATGATCTGATGGTTCATGAGTTCAAGCCCCATGTCGGGCTCTGTGCTGACAGCTCAGAGCCAGGAGCCTGCTTCGGATTCTGTGTCTCCCTCTCTCTCTGCCCCTCCCCTGCTTGCACTTTGTCTCTCTTTCTCAAAAATAAACACTAAAAAAAATTTTTTTAAATCATTGCTTTTGGAAAATTGTAACAGTACATAAGTGCTTTGCTTCTAGTAATGATTCCTCAATTCCACGTATATTTGAAAACTACCTCCCCCAAACGCCTTCTGGAAAAATACTGTTAAGGAATGAATGACCAGTTCTGCAAAGTTTCACAGCCGACCAGTCTCTGTGTAAGCAACAGAAATCATTGTGGGGACACCTGCGTGG